CAGGGTGTCCCAAAAGTTTCCATACATAAAAAGGTGAAATGTAACTTTATTCACAAAACATTAAAATGTCAACATTAAGATTTGTATCAGTGGATTGATGGAATAAGGCAACATGTGTGATCTATTGATACCAATGGGGGTAAGTTCTAGCAGGACTTCCTATGTGAAAACTGGATTCTGTTTAGGTGTTAGAAACACGAAGAAAACCCAGAACACTGCATGGTGGCCAACCCATTGGTCAGGCATGAACCAATGACCAATTACCAGTGTTCGTTGGTTTTATTTATTTGCCCACTGGTCGGCTTGATTTGTGTCAATATATGGAGACTTTTGAGACACTCTGTATTTAAATGGCGTAGAAAAATTTTCACATTTAGTTATTAATTAAAAATATTGGTAATTTAAATATAAAAGTATTTTTAATCATATGTATCTGTTGTAAATGGTGGTGCCATGATTTATGGATGCAATTTTAAAGTCATAGATTTCTGATAAATTATAACTGTCACAGTCTGAAATATAAAATTATTATATAATTTCTTATAATTCATTCTGATTTGCAATTTTATTTTATATTGTTTAATTTGTTTAATATAAATTTAATTTCATTTACTGTATATAATAAGTAAAATGATATAAATAAATCAAACTAATATGTTAGTTAATCTCTTCCTCAAATAACAACAATATTACTTCTGTACTTCTGTACAGGTGCTCCCCTACTTACAAATGTTCATCTTACCTGAACTTTCAGATTTATGAATAATTTGTCTGTCTAAAATTTAAATTTCGTGTGGATTATGAAATTCTCTGGCCACTCATGTGGTGATGTCAAAGTCAGTCTTTGGCCAGTAATGAACAATTAATGTGGACTTATTTCTGTGCATATTGTCATTTTTCATTTTCATGTAAATTCTGAGGTTCTGTTTCTGCTCATGAAACAATGTTGAAGTTGGTAACATTGAGGTAATGCATTTTTTGCTGCTATTTGCAATTTTTATAAACTTTTGCAATTAGGGCTTCAATGTGTCCAAAACATATTAGTAAAGCTAGCAGCAGAGACAAATGCAAGAAATATTGCTCTATTACTATGAAAACTAAACTAGACATCATAAAGGAGGATGCACATATGTGGCGCGGCAAGGAAAAGTGGTATCGCAAACGCATCTTTGCCGCACGACAGCACAACCACACAAGCAGCAATCCACTTACATTTCACCACATGTGTTCAGTATTGAAGATGGCGAATGATACTGACACTGTCACTATCCATGTGTTTACAAATTTTGTTTTGTACAGCTTTCTTTATTTAGCTAGAAGATTTTGTTGAAGATTCAAACGAAGATATTGGATTAGAGATATTTTCTTGGATGGATAAAGAACTGATGTACAAAATACGCTTATTCCTCGATTAAGATCTCTCGATAAAGAATACTATTTCGAGTAAGATTCAGTTGTTCTGTTCTTTGAATGAAATTTTATATATGATTATTTGTGTAGAATTTGTGTTAAATGTATTATCCTGTTTTCTTTATTCTGATGTTAGTTATCTTGCTTAACTGTGTTGAACTTTCCGCCATTAAAACACCATGTGATTGTATTTACTCATATGACTAACAGATGAACTGTTATTGGCTGATAGAAATGCGTCATAGAGATGGTCATTGCAAAATATAGAATTCAACCAACTTTTATGGCACGAGAAAAGCAGCATAAAATTTACTTCTGCGGCGAGAAAAAGTGATGTCATTCTGCCGTTTTTTCTTGCCATGCCACATGTGTGCATCCTCCTTAAAACCAACTGCATTAGGTTAAAAAAACACCCACTACTAAGCAGTAGTGAACAGATAAATGAACATAATGTATTCTATAAAGTACATTAAAGGATAAAACACTAACAATAAATAGTTATTCTGTGTACAAATGTACTTTCTAGGTTGGTTTTCAACTTACAAGCATTTTGACTTATGATAAAACCTTGGAAATCTAACCTGTTCGTAAGTAGGGGAATACTTGCATAGTACATGGTTCTCAAAAGTCCTGTAAATCCTGTGGTTCTGGACTTATGGAATTCCCTGTATAAAATTAAATTAAATGAATTGATAAATATAAATGATAGTTGATTCTTGAATACTATATAGTAGTTGTTCTTTGTTATTAATTTGAAATAATTAATTTTAGAAATAATCAACATTTACTTTTTTTAATACATTTTATTTTATAATTGGAGCATTAAAATGAAAGTTTATTTGAAAATTTCATTTAAAAATATATGTTCTTGCATGTATATTCAATTAAATAAAGTAAATGAAAAAATAATAATCATGTTTTATAAAAAAAAAATTATTATTATTATTTTTCTGATCACAGATAATACAGTACTTCGAGAATTTTATCACTGGCTTCTGTATGGTTTTCCAAATTCTCCAGCAGATGTACATTTAGCAAACAGTCCTGCAAAATCAAAAGATGAAAAATCATGAGGTTTTCTATCTTGTTAATTAAATAAATTTGAAAATAATTTTAAAATTATCATATTTTCATGATATATTATAAAAATGTAAAAATTGTAATATATGAAATTAATTAAATTTAATAATTTGTATTTATTTTGAATGTGAATAGTTTCTTTCATTAATGATTATATAAATTTATATTGATTTCAAAGATAAAACAGCAGTTAAAATTATTGTATTTATATTATTTTAAGAGTAAACACAAATAATACTAACTGCTTTTTAAAGTGCAATTTAACTTATAATTTTCTAAAATGTTTTAAAAACTAAAATTTTATTTCTATAAAATAAATTCAATTTGAAACTGTTGAGGATCTGTATTAAAAATATTATTGTTTGTTACATTATTAACCTTGTAACTATTAAATCATATTGAAGACTATTTCAGTTATTTATTTGTGATTTTTTTTATTATAAAAAACATGTTGTCTAATGTAATTTCATCTGGGGGATGCTTATGGTGCTGCAACACTCCTTGATGTAAAAGAAATCAGTTTTGTTGCTTAAAAATTAATGTAATGCATATTGCATGACTTCAATTAGGTAAGTTAGTTAACTAAAGTAATTCTGAGGTAATTGAGTAACATTCTTTGAGAAGTGACAGAGGACACATGCCTTGGTCCTCCATTTCTGCCTTGAGCAGCATCCTTATATTCAAAATCCCTGATTAGCCACTGTTTAATATCATCACTAATTACCATTGTTATGCAATGCAGAATTAAACAAACTTATTATAAAATTTTTCATTTATTGCAAATTATTTTAGACTAGAAATTAACTCATTTTAACATATTTAGCAAAAAGTTAAATTATATAGACTCCATTAGTTTGGAGATCAAATAAAAATTGTTACATTAAACCATTGATTTTCCAATACATTTGGTCCCAAAGTTTTGTCAGAACTACTGACTTCACATAATAGCTCAATAGTACATTTTTGGACTGATAATCGTATGCCTTTCATTCAAATTGTATAACACTTTGATGACTAATTCTATACCAGATTGTAATGTCTTTCTCTCGAATGCATCTCCAACTTACAGGTCCTAAAGCATATTTATCTAGTCTGTGGTATTTAGAATCTTGATGCTTTGGACTATTGTAATATAATGAAAAAACTTACAAAACATTATTTAGAATGCCTTATTTGAAATCTTGAGAGGTGTCAAATCTGGGAAACAAGGTGGCCATGTTATTGGCTCTGTTTTCAACTGTTTCTTATTGGGTTTCATTAAGGATCTAGTGTTAATTCTACTGTTGCTGCAAATTTTACTGATTTGTGAGCTCAAAACTCAAATCAATGTTGCAGTTACCAAAGTGACAAGAGATATGCCGCTTTGGGTTTGGCCAGAAATTGAATACAGATGAGATGTTACCTTTTCGCCAATGGCTTTTACATCAAACCAAATATCTGTTTGAAGTAAAACTTGATGTGTTTTTCTACTTCATTCTTCAACTGCTTCTGTAACTCTTCTGATTAAAATTATAAATACTTCAAAGTTGAACATTTCATCAACTATTATATTTATAAAAGAATGATGAGAATAATGAATAAGCTATAACTTTTGGAAGAACACTATTGGTACTTTATTCATTTAAGTTTAATAATATATATACTATTTTATCAACTCAAGATATGTTTATTAGAATTATTGTATTCTATACTAAATTTAAATATCAATTTTTTCAAGCACAGTACAGATCAGATATCAAAATTAGTAAAAGATATATAAAATTGTAGTGCAGGGCTGGCCAATCTTTGTCATGACAGGAACCATGCAATACCCAGCAGAAATACAAGAGCCACATTATTTAATTATTATAATATCTGTTATATAAAATACAAATTCAATATGTGGGAGCCACAGTAAGGTTCTAAAAGAGCTGCATGTCACTCACAAGCTGCAGTTTGGCCGCCATGATTATATAAATCTTTTCCAGCTTCTCTAAAAAAACTTACATTGAAACTTGTTATAAGTAATCTTTTGATAAAATCATTAAATTACAAAATTATGCCAAAACATCAAAGTATAAGTATAAAAAGTTAATGTTATAAGAGAGTTTAAGAAGCTATTCCTTAAATTTGGGGTAAATTATGTAAATATTACAGTGATATTTTTATTACTATAAAAGATGGTTATATACCAAATAACCCAAAAGTTAGTTGGCTGAGATGTATTTTGATTAACCAACTGGTGAGCCTGCTTTCGCTTACACTTTTTTTTATTTTTAAGTGATTTTAATATATATTCCACTCAATAGAATATAGAATTTCTATGGTATATAATAAAATATAGAATAGAATAGGATGATGTAAAATTTCTCTGGTAACATATATAACTAATAATTAGTAGACTAATCATTAAAAAAAAAAAAAACAATTTTGTTCATTTAAAACTTGTTTTACAGTTATTTAAACTAAATTCTCACATTTATTTAGGCTAATGAAATAAAAAATAAGCATTTTTAATATTGAGGAAAACATTTACCATACAATAACAATTATATTGATTAGAAAGGAAATTAATAAAAAAGAATTACAGTATTAATTTAAGTTACCAAGATGATGATACCAATAGTAATAATCAAACACCTTTCATCACATGATACATAAAGTATGGAATTATACATTGTCAATTAAAAGTATGCCATAATAAATAGGTTCAGATATATTATACAATCTATTTATGCATATGTAATAAAGAAATTAAGATATGGCCATGGGATTTAATTATCCTTAAGCATTTTTAAATTAAAGCAATTAAAATAATTCCAGAACTAGTGACATACAACAAAGGCGATGATGAGAAAATTATATTGATCTGCTATATTTACTATTATGAATTTATGTTGGTGCTTTGCAAATAGTTTTTTTTTTTTTACGGAAAATATGATTTATAGAGTAACAAATAAAATCCTTTGAGATTTCACATTTTTTTGAGGAAAAAAGTGAAATTATGTTCAGAGGAAAACATTCTAAATCGATGAAGAGGTTATCCATAATTTACGTAACACACGTATGGGGGTATGCAGTTATTATTATTCTCTTTCCTTGATTTAGAATGTTTTCCTTTCAAGATTTCATTTTGAGGGGATGTAGATATTAATCTACATGGCGGGGAAATAAATAAATATATATATATATAGGATCAGCTAATTTATATAATACCCATTTTAAATGTTTAAATTGTTTTGAATTAGTCCATTTTATTGTGTTTGTACGTGGTATACTCGAACCAGATTTTATAATTAATTTTTGCTGGCGTATTGCTAAGCCAATCTCCAAATTATCGAAACTAAAATCTACTGTAATTTAAATGATAATTGTTATATAAACCGTGACGATGGTCGGTCGAACTGATCGATATCGAATCAATGCGACTGCAAAGTAGACTAAGAGCAGGCAAGGAATACAAGGGCAGTTTGAAAGCTCACGCAACGTATTTTATACGCTACTTACGTAACTTTCTATTGTAAAACCGTTATCAACAATTAAAAATTCAAGCTGGATACGAGCAAACAAAAACTTATGCCAGATCTAACTTATTTTGAAACGAATGTAACTAAGATGACGAGCGATCAGAATCAGAAATCGTCGGAAGACGAGATAATACCTTCGAGAGTGGAAACACCAGAGCCGATACCCGATGATTGTACCTGCCTCGAATGCCTTCTACGACCTATACAAAGCATGGTTCGGATTTTCGGGGTGGATTTCCATTTTGGAGAAGAAGGCCACGAGAAACCGGAGAGAGAGAAAAAAATGCATAAATGGAGGAAGGTATACGGCATCATTATTTTGCTTTTCATGTGGATGGCCGCTGGTAGACAGGCCGGATCCTTTTTTATGATGAATTGGAAGAGTAAATTGTATTTTGGTGACATCAGCCAGATTTTGCCCAAAGACGGTAGCTCTTGGTTATATGTCTATCTGACTTCACACTGGATCGCTTGCTTGTCTTTGACCACCTTCTTCTTCACCGACAAAACTTACTACTTGACAAATTTGATGTATTTGTTGGAAGAAATGCGTTCCGATACGGCTCGTCACAGAAGAATCGAGAAAACGATACTGGGATGGCAAAAATCTTTAATGTTTGGCACGAGCCTCTGCTTTGTCGGATTCACCATCTATGCCGTAATTCTCTTTTCTTATTGGCGATTTAAGCACATGAGCCCCAGTGATGACAAGCTTCTGGTCGCTTTCCAAATATTTTGGGCCTGTTTAGAGAAAATATATCTGTACGGAATGGGATTATACGGGCCCGTTTTTTTGGTATTGAATAATCTGATCGTAATCAAATCCTATCAAGAATACGCCGAACAATTATCAGAAGAAGTCAATGGAGACATTCAGCAAACTAATTTTCAAGCCTTGCAAATTAAATACCACAGACTTTGCCAAATGATTGGATACAACGATCAGTTAATGAGAGGAGTCTCGAATTTCACTTTCCCTGGTCTCATTTTCATGCAGGCATTGCTCTTCTACTTAGCACTCTTCAGTCTCACTCTACCCGCATCTAAAATTATGATAAAGATTCTGACCTTTCTAACAATATTGATTTTCGCTGTTGCTTGTTGTTATCCCGCGGCTTTGACATCTGCTGTAAGTTATAACTTAAACAATTAATTACAGACAGTAAATTTTATACCTATTTTGATTGAATATCTTATACTTTCAGGCTACCAGACCTTATGACGTTTTGTACGAGGCGACTTTCATGCCTATCAAAGTGGAAAATCAATTCCGAGTAAATGATTCTAAAAGCTTTTTAATTTTCTATATATATAGATATTATATATAATTATATAATTATCTCTTAATTTATATATTTTTTTAAGATTCACGATCTGATGAAACAAATTGGAGGTTCGCCCATCGGCTTGACATGGTTGAATGTATTTGTCATGAATAAGGGAGCCATTATAAAGGTTTTTATTTGTTACTATATTATTGTTTCGCTCTAAGAAACTAAATTATATAAAAGTAAAAAAGAAAAGGAACCAAAGAATCTTTAGTTTGAGTAAATAACAAGATCCTAACGAGTGCCAAGTCGAAATCTATGCTGATTGTTTTATATTTTGATCTGCATTATGTTACAGATATACTTGTTATAGCAAGTGTACAGATATACCTGTATACATCCTATCGTGATGCACCTCTGAAGAAGTGGCAGGGCAACAAAATTTATCGTATTCAAATAATAACTTAGAATAATGCATCTCTCGCATCATTTAATATTATTTTCGATGAGTTACTTAGTGGTGGAAAAGTCGGGGATCTAGTAGATCCCCGACTTCTCCACCACTAAGTAACTCATCGAAGACCCGATCGAGGAAACGTAAAGACCCTTTAGCAGGAGAAGAGAGATTTTGCTGAATGAACCACACACTTACAACCTTTGGATGTGTTGTTTTGAATTTGGAAAAACTTGGTCAGAAAATTTTTTGATAACCTTGACATTCAACAACATCGCGGATGTAGAATTTTGAAAATTCAATCTCTTGTCCACCATTAATTTTCTTTACTTACATTTTGTAATTTTATTACACATACCCTTCTCAAAAGCGGAATTTCACGGGATTGGTCATCTTCTTTTCAACACTATCGATTTTTACTCGAAGATTGGAATCTAGTACTGCAATAATGTCGAGTATTCTGATAGTGTTTTTATCATGTGTGACTATCATAATGCTCTGTTATACTTTAATTAATCATTTCATCGAAATAACACTCGGAACTCTGAAAACTGTGGTATGGTTTGTTCCAGTATTTTGATGGTTTTTCTCTGTATTTTTTTTTTTTTTTTTTTACTCTTTTAGCTATATGGACACTAAGAGGGCCCTTTATCAAATCCTCCTGGATTAGACCAGATCACAATGGGGTGGCCGGGTTGTGAGGAATGGCATCCAACATACCCGAAAAATTCCTAAGGTTCAACGTATTTTCATATATTTTTTTGCGATTTAAGTTTTAAATCTTGTACTAGTGTAAGGTTTTTTTAAGTCTAATAAAACAACAAATTCGTCCAGCAAAATGTTTCTTCCGCTACAGGATAGTGCTCTTGGTAGCACTCCTTAGGTTCGTAACGCCCCACTACTGACTCACGAAGTAACACATCTAAACTGCTATTAATTGATGAAAGGTGTATCACTGGTTTTATTTTATTATTTAAATACGGTAAATTTTCGAAGTTTTGCAATATTTACACTTCCAGCTGTGCACCACAGCAGAAAGTTTAAAGTTAAAAAAACAGCTCATTGGAGTGCCAAAATATTTAAAAAGCATTGTAGATTTTGATCTGACACTTGGAGAAAGTTCTTTGTAAGAAAATTTACATTGTGTAGAGTTAAACAATAATCCAAGAATCTTCTCACCAGAATGGGTCTGTAAAGAGAATTTGTTGTAAGGATTGTCTTTTGCTTTCCTCTTATCTGTTCCCTTTTTTTTGCAATATTCATTAGTAAATACACGAAAAAAAATTTTGAATAATTAATTACGAATAATTGATCATTTCAGGTTATCAGTTTGTTGCTTTCCATTTTCATCTTCATGTTGCAATTCCAACAATTACATGAAAGCAGAGATTGCGCCGCTCAAGAAGAACGAGAATATCAAAGAGATTTTATCCAAGATTGAGGGGTGATGAACAATCCTGAACTTCTAAACGCTCAAACTATTTAAACAATATCCTTAAGTTGATACATTTTTATCAATATGATTGAATTATAATATGATTTTGGGATAATTTGGTTTTTAAATTATAGAATATGTAACTTTTTTGAATAATTACATAATTACTTATGATTATTTTTTCTAATTACCATATAAAGTGGATCAATGACTTCAGCCAAAAGTAATAGTATGGCTGGTTGCCCAGCTGATTATTTATTGATCCACACTTTTAAAATTTTTAAAAAGTATTTAAACATTTATCACAATGTAATAATTATAAATATTATCAAAAAATGTAAATAAAAATAGATAATTATAATTAAGAATATAGTATTTTAAAATTTTTAATAATTATTAGGTGTTCATTAATTTAGTTTTAGTTTAATCATAGATTATAAAATAATAATCACAGATTTTTCCAATTAAATTTATTTATTAAATATGTTTAATCAGAGTGTGGTCCAATGTACTTAATTAATTATTCTACTTAATTTGATCTGTATAAATTTCAAATTATATTTAAATGCTAATTGGATAAAACTCATTTAATAAAACAAACTCTTTCAAAAAATTGCTCATCAAGTTATTTATTATATTATAAATATATTAATTACAGTAGAACCTCGAAAACTCGGCTCTCGATAACTCGGCACTCCGGATAACTCGGCCACACCCTGGCAGGGCAAAAAAATCCTTAGTTAATTAATTTTCATTATAGACAGCTTTATAAAAGTATAAAAGCTGTCATAAAGTATTTTTCTGAGGTCTGTCTTATCAGGTAAATTACTGTTGTACACAGTGTATTCATTAATTTTCATTTTCATGTAGTGAAGGCTCTATGCCTTCATAAAGGACGTACTTTTCTTTTGTTTAAGGGTATTTGGGTTTATTATTCTCTGTTTTC